ATCAGTCAACAGATTTATAAATGGAAACATTTCTTATCTACTTTAGTTCTCAGGGTTGCAGTTTTCAATATAATTTGTACAAAATGAAATAGTAAAAAGTAATTCGAAAAATTAACTAAAAATAACCTTGACAGTTTAAAATTGAACAATAATTGAGGTGACAATCTAATGTATCAAAATATTTCTTACCTTTCCTCAAGGCAAAACAATCATATTTTCATGTTATTGGTTGCATTTACTGGTTTAACTTGAACATAATAAAGTAGTGGAAAGTACAATTATTCATAGTTTAGAATTTAAAAATCATTCAGTTGGCAATCCAGTACATTACAATATTTCTTATCTTCTCTTACCGCAAAATATCTTTCTTTGGTGGTAAGGTTTTACAGTTGTTGATTCAACTTACACGAAGTAGGACGATGAACAGCATAGTTTTCCAAGCAAATGTTTTAAAACATTTCTTTTCCTTTCTTATCGCGAGGTATCCTTTCCGTTGCGCTTAGTGTTGTAATTGCCAATTTAAATTGTGCGAAATAAACCAACAGCAAGCGTAGTTTTTCAGGGCGAAACGCGGTTAAAAGTTACTTAACAGGTTTTTTTCTTGGTAACAGAAGCGTTGGTGCGCTCGACAGGATCCCGAGGACTCAACCGGGTTCGAATACCGTAATCCCCCGACAATAAAAGTTCTCTAAGGAAACCCGCCCCTGCCTCGTGTCTGTTTCTTTTTTCGTCGAGTTGCCTGGCATTACAAAATTTTGCGTGGGGCAGAAAGTTACATGTCGGTTCCCTTTGACGCGCGTTCGGAAACTTTAACGCATTCCCGACGATATGGATCGGCAAAGTGCTTGATAGCATATCACCGAGGAAATTCGAGCAAGAGTGTGTAAGAGGAGAACGTATTAACGCAACCTCAACTTCGGCTATTTATTAGCGTAGCGTAGTAATGCCAGCTGATGAGCTTCAAGAGGAAACGCCGCTTCCCTTCGGCCCCTCGAACTATATAATATAGAACTTATGCTGTTACCGCTGGTTTATTAACCTTCAACGGTGCGCGATTTACTTTCAAGTGAACGGATTAGTTGACATTATCCCATTCTTCGATTTCTCCTAATTAATCGGCCGTCAAGCTCTCTGTCGGCAATCAAAGGGGTGCATTCAGACAAAAATCAACTGCCAGTAATTTTTGATAGCATCTTTTACATTGCTTCGAATTATGTGCAGATTATTTTGTCAACTACGTTTTTTTCGTAATAAGAAAATTATCGGGCTAAAAAGTTCATACACTGTTCTCTTCGATTTCATGTGTACAAACTGTAGTTAAAATTTCAACCCGTAAATGTATCAGAGTCGGGTAAAATTTTATTCGGATGACGGATAAGAGATAAGGACTAACGAATAATTACATTTTATATGATATGATACATGACAATGATTTTCCAATTTTATAAGTTATTAAAATTGAACTGATCCCGGAATGTATTCGTGCAAATATATTCTGATAAAATTTCGCAAAAACAAAAACGGTCAACAATTATTCGCTTTATTATTCGAATAAAGAACCGTACGAATAATTTATTCGAATAAAGAATTTTGTGAATAATTTATTGAAATAAATTATTATACGAATAATCTATTCGAATAAAGAATTATTCATACATCAGCGCCGCTGAAGAAACGACGAAAGTAGTCAATGATTACACGAAAAACGCTGACTTCTTTTTGCCTGTGCCGCGTGAAAGGAAATAAGACTTCTGCTGAGGAAATGAGGAATGCAACATAGGCAATATTGCATCATGAAGAATCGATTGGCGAAGTGGATTCCGGGTGATTCGTTTATAATATCGGTCACGGAACTCGAATATCCCGTTTTTAATGTACTTCGTTAGGGCCGAGTACTCGTTGCCATAAATTTCGCGGAGCAGATATCGTTTTGAAAACAGTCCGATCACGCTACATGCCTAAAACACACGATCTGTGGACTAGAATCTCTGGCAGTCGAGAAATCTTTTAACGATTACTTCGAAAGGCTGCAAATTTTATACGTCTACAAATTTCGAAGGTTAATCGATCTTTGTAATACGTATGACACAAATTTGCATAAACCTCCACGCCCTGATACTATTACACCAACGTTACAAATCCCTTGTTTAATCCGATGATTGAATCGTTTCCTGTAACTCGGTCTACTCATTCATAATCGCAGCTAATTACGGATGAATGTACGTCTAGATTTTTCCACGTCGTCTGAAGTTGTTCAATGAAAGAAGAGGTTGTCGTGTCGAGTACTAAGGCAAATTCCTGGCACGTTTATTCGATGATTGTTTGCATTTCATTTCTCTGAAAGCAGTTAGTGTTCCTACAGAGCTCATTTGCTGCGTGTAGATTTCTCCAAACATTAATCCTGGTAGAATATTTATGAAGAAACGTAGTTTAATTACCAGCCCCGCCGAGGGAACCGGCTCTTGTTTATTTATTTACTAAGTCTAGAATTGTGCCGCGTTACGTGTCACACGGTGTGCAAATTAATTTGCCGGCGTAACTGACATAATTAGCGCATAACCGTTTTAATTGTCAATACAAAACGAGAGTGTTAATGGCAGAGTAAAGCGTGTCACGCTTGTTATTGATGCTCCACGAGTACGGAATTTGGAACTATCGTCCGAGAAATTTCCGACGGTCGAATTGGTCGTCGATTCATACAAATAAATGAAAAGCAATTGCTAATATTTTTTAACGAAACATGTTAAGTTGTGCCACTCTTCTCAAGCGAAATTAATAAAGGCTTCGCCTTGCCACTAACTTTTTCGATATTGAAATACTCATAAAATTCGTTAACGTTCGGACCAACTCCCGTTACTTTCGATCTAGACTTCTTTTTTGCATCGCCTTCAATTATCCTCGTACATTTCTTCGTCTCCAAACGTAAGTCAGAAATGGAATGCAAATCGAAACCGCGGTCGATGCGGTTAAGCAGCGTCGCTCGAAATAAACCAAGTGAATATTTACCTTGCGCTCTTCCATGTTTAAAATGTAGATAGAATTGTTTCTAAATAGGAACGGACTTAAATGAATATTTTACAATTAACTTGTCCCTTTACCTCGCACCGTTAGGACGGAGATAAGATCGGAGATTAAAGGCAAGCAAGTGAAACCTGGAAAAGTACTTATGATTGCACCTAGGACTATTCTAACATTATCAGAGCATTATTAGAGCAGCGTTGGTGCCTCAGAACAGGTGTCAAAGTGCAATGAGGTGCAAAAAACACGATGCCAAAGGTAAGCTCGAAATGTGGTTAGAAGCGAACGAGCTTTTACGCTGAAACGAAATTCACGTGTATAAGCTTGTATTCTTCGCGATCACTTTCAGAATACTTTTAGCCACTTTGGGATACTATTTTCTAAAACATCGCGAAATCTACTTTACAAGATCCTCTAAAATATTCTATAATATCGCAAGAGCTATGTTCTCTATCTTTTGATTTAGTTTTACTTTTAACAAATAGTTTCATTTAATTTTCCTGTTCAATTAGAATTTCCGTAACACTTATTAACAAGTACTTGGTCTCTAACACTTTCAATGAATAGTCTTATTCAATTCTTTCAATAATCTCACTGAAAACACTTAATTAATACTCATCAATGAATACTTAGATATGGTAAAACTTCAAAACTTCATTACTATTCATGAATGAATACTTAAATATGGTCTCTAATACTTCGAATGAATTGTCTTATTTGATCTCACTCGAAACTTCATTAATATTAATCGATGATCATTTATAGATATGCTTTGCAATACTTGTACCAGTCTTATATAATTCTGTTACCGATCTCATTAAAAATTGCATACATGAATGAATATCTAAATATGTTCTTGGACACTTTCATTGAGCCATCTTATTCAATTCTTTCAATGATCTCATTAAAAATTTCGCCACTATTCAGTAATGAATAGTTAGACATGATTTCTGTCATTTTCAATGGACAATCTTGTTCAATCCTCTCCATTGGTCTCACTAAAAACTTCATTACTACTCGTCAATAAATGCTTAAAATATGGTCACCAACAAGGTTGACATTCCGGTACAGAATTTAAGGATCAAGATTCGCTAGTAAATTTTTCAATAATTCACAGATGTCGTTGACAGATGAAGCGGAAGCGCATTGTTGAAAAGCGACTGCAACGAGCAGTAATCGTGCAGCTATTGTTGCGTGTAATCTTACAGAAATTCCGATCGCCCCTTTTGCCGGTGGAGGCTCCATTGTTCAAACATTCTAAAACATTTTCCAATGAAACGGTCACCGAAAAAATGGAGTCTAACATCGAGGCGCAGCGACTGTGACAGGATGCGCTATTCATCCCGGTTTCCCGGTTGCCTCGAACGTACCCTTCTTGCTCGGGAAAAGTATAATCCTTTCAGCGAATACACGTGAATTTCCCTGAGCCAGTCGTTCAGCTTGAACAAGGGGGTTGGGGAGAGGGGGGTTTCAAGAAGACAGAAAAACGTATCGTTGGCGGTGTGCTCTTTGTCAGCGCATCCTTCGGATTCTTTGCTAAGAAACGATGGCCCCGGGGTACTAAAGCGATTTTCAGGCGTTACGAGCAAATTCGAGCGTGGAATGCTTGGGAATTGGAATTCTCGCACGCAAGAAAGACAACACTATCGATCTTGTCAAAGTTTCCAAATCTCATGAACGATGGTGGCTTATGGTGGTGATGCCGTGAATAGACGAGGAGAAATTTACAAGCCTTACCACCACCATTGCCAGGCTCTGAGTTGTCTAGCGCTTGGTTCTCCATTATGTGCAGCAGCTTCGTTGTAGCAGTTGAAGGGGTAGTAGGCGGTCCTGCACAACAAACACCACATATCGCGTCCATCAAGTAGTAAGCATAGATGTTTCTACGGACTGGTTAACAGTGTTATACAATTCAGTGTGATACATTCGTACCGGACGGTCAACAACAGCATCGACGGTCATGTTAATGGTGGATACGGACAAACAAAAAGTTACTTAATTGTTTCGAGCTTTTATCTTCATGTTATTGGTTACTGTTCTTTCATTTTCACGTTGCCGCGTGGTTAGGTCGGTAAGAAAAAAATGAAAAAACACGTACCACACTCAAAATACGATATAAACGAAATATATGAAACATTTTAAGAGGTGGTAAGATAGAAGAAGTGGTAAGATAGACAGAGATTGTGGTGAAATGTTTGTTTAATCGATCGATTGTTATTGATCGCTTAGTGAGTTATGTAAAAGTTATGGTATGATTATCAACTGTCATGGATCTCATAGGCAGCACTTAAATTTGTTTTCTTAAGTGACTAATTGCAGGTATTTGAAATATTGAATTAAACAGATTTTAAATGTGTCGCAGTTTTGTTGTACACAAAACCTGACTCGTTGACACATCATTGAAACGCAAATAGAAAACCGGACGTGCTGCTTAACTAAATGTCAATAACTATTTGAGGTTTGCCATCTAGAAACACAGAACTGTGAAATTATTAGTCGTATTGTACAGATGTTATCATTGGTTTCGAACTATGAAATAGAACACTCATTTAGAATACGGTTTGTTAATAACAAACAGAACATATAAACTGTAACAACACCAAATAAACCGGGAAATTTCAGATCGCATTCAATGTCTGCATGCCTTCGAATATTAAATAATTGTAGTTATTCGCACCACGTATCGCAGGTTAGTTAATGCGATAACGCAGACGTAGGACGAACAAATAAAACGTAAAGCAATAGGGGCTACACGTAAGCCGTTAAATGGTATAGTATTTTAGGCATATATATGTTGCTTGTCCGGTGTTTATACATTTTTCTTCAGACACAAATTATTAATGACGAATTAATTTTTACAACGCCGCGAGAACGGTAATTCTGCCAATGAAACCTGTGAATTTGTGGTTATTTAAACGCGTAACGGAGAACAAATATTTTTAGCGGGAATTCTCTGCGGCGCGATCATTAATCTCCGGTGGTTCGGCGTGACATTAAACGAGCGCTATATTACGCAACATAATGCAGCAAGAACTTCTGGAGTCCCTTAATTTTATTATACTAGTTCTGTGACGACTGAAAGTGAGAGAGAGATAACCAGGTGAAAGGGAATGATGTCTTAGGGAGCACCAGTTACTTCGCGGAGAACTGTGACAGCCCAAGTTCTGAACAACTCCAACGATTTGAAAAATAATTTTCTTAATCGTAATATATCTGATAAGAAGTAACTTGTTTCATAGCTACGAACACTAGGTTTATGGGACCGGTCAAAAGAACGGTTTCCAAACTTTTCAACTTACGATTATCGAGATTTTATTTATGAGGAATTTATCTAATAAATTGATCACTTTGAGCAAATATTAAGATAGGGGAATTGCTAGAAATCGGAATAAATATATTATTGTCACTTTTCTCAAGTTAGATAAAATACTGCTTTTAATGTTCCGTAAACCTAGTGTTAATAACAAGATAAGTTTTTGCTGCTCGATTGAATTTGATTTGCTATCATTCTCGCAAATGTTCTAGGACAATTATGCAAGTTCCTTTTCGGTATGTTTTTAGTACTTTGATATACTTCCATCATATTTTACTATTAAACTGAAAATGAGACTGCAATTTCAATTTTGGAGACGTAAGCTATATAAAGAATTATTTAAACACTGTAAGCTAAAGAAATAATATATTTTTAATATACATATTATATCTGTCTCTTCACCTTTTCTAAAATAATCTTCTCAATAATACACATGGTTTGTGTAATTATGGTATACCCGACGATGACACATGAAAGTACTAAACAATAGTGACAGGAACAATCTTGCGATAGATGCGAACAATTTTTATTTTATACAAAATTCCGCAATATAGTAATGAATATTAAACGTACGAAGTCTATTCAATTACTCACAAGGAATATTAAATATCTATTCTCTTGGATCAATAGAAATTTGCAATTTTGTTGAAGAGGTAAACCTAACCTATATTTTGCTTTAGCCTAGTTTCATTATACTTTAATCGTCGTACGTGTGAAAAAAGAAGTGGTCCCGTTTTAAAAAATGAAGACGACCTTAATATTAAAAAAAAAATAATAAAATAAGGAGAATTACTTTTATGACATCGTGTAATCCCCATTGAACCATCCAGCTTTGTCCTCAAAACATTTGACGAATCATTAAAAACAACAAATGAGGTGTTAGGTGACTCACCCTGTATAATTGTAGCTAAATATCGTAAAATGATTGATATTTACAACAAAATAAGTTAAAAACAATCGTCACGTCAGTAGTATCCAATATTTAATTACGCATTATTTATAACTAAACTGCAGATCTTTATGCAAAATAAAAATTGTCTACAATTGTTGCAAAAATCAAGAATTACGGCGGAACTGTTTTCAGCATCACGTTCAATCACTAAAATTCCCACAAAGTCAAAGCAATTTAATTAATTGAACCGAAATTAGAAAGTTAAAATTTATCATAATGAATGACATTAGAAGGCTTTCGCATTCGAAACGTCCTAGATAAATTCAGTTTATTCGAATATGGCACAATAAAAATGAATTTTCAAGATTGGTCGAAAATTAGTGTCACTCGTATGTGACTGATGCGACACTCGACATGTTAATAATTATACTAGGCTGGAAGCAATGCATTTGATATTCTCCGATTTTTCTAGCGTGTCTATTGTTCGAAATTACAGTCATTCATTTTAGTCATCAAATCCGCAGTCTATTGATAACATATTCATAAAAGTCGTCGTCCGAAGTCATGATACGTGGCTAATTTTTTAAGCGAAGGTACCACTGCAGGTGGTAGCCTCAAATCGAATTCTTCCACGTGCAGAGTTTTATCAAAACGGGAGGCAAGCGACTCGGCAAGGTTCCTTGTCAGCGGCACTTTGAATAAACGAAAGAACAAATGTTTGCGACACTCGTATCGAATGATTGGAATAGGACCGTGAACGAAGCGAGATTGGTTCGTCAGTCGGCGTTTGCTTACACCTGTTCCACTCGGCCGTTCTCCTCCCGAGTGGTACGTATCAGTAATAACCCCGACCCTCGAAAGTCACCGAAACGGATCGCGATGCTCGTCACGTGCTCGAGTGTCGAACAGACGGGTGCAAATTGGTAAACACGTGGGTCGGCTGGCTAACGAAGGATCCTTTCTCTGAAACCGTCAAGACGGTTCTCTCTCTCCCTCTCTCTCTCTCTCTCGTCGGTAGTTCCCACGATCTCTACGTATCTACGGGTGCGCGGGCGTGTGTGTGTGTTTTTCTCTGAATCCCACGGAACCAGGAAGATTTAGTTCGCAAAGGAGAAAATTGGATGATAATAGGCAAGGCGTGCCGGCTGGAAGTACAAGCAATTTAACCCATGTAATTTAGTCCTTTTCCTCGGAGCGACCGCAGCGCGGGCCTCTGCAACCGGATGAGCTGAAAACCCTTCTTTGACCAAGATGATAACGAGGCAAGAGGAAGGACGTGGCTACAAGTTTCCCCGCAAAATACTCGGCCGTCTGTGAGTAAACGCGATGCACACGCCAAGTCTCTGTCGACGCCCACTACTTGACCCTTCGGCGTGAACGCGGCGGTGGCGGCTACGCCGGCCTCTTAGGGACTTTGCCCTTTGAACCGAACTCCCGGCGCTGGAATGTCATCGTAGGGGATAGAACGCCCGCAAGGATAATGGAACACGTATAATAAACCGAAACGCTGTGATCTGGATTCAGATGATCTGCCGGATTGCTCGAACCACTACCGACAAGCCTGCACGTGTGACTTTTGTTATCTGCTCACGACTGAGAATTGCGGATCGTGTACAATAGTCAACGACAACGAGATCCCGAGTGAACCTCCTCCAACTCGAGGAGAATATTTTTTGTCAACACCGAATTCGCAGCATTCAGCGAACTTGGATGATTAGACTGATACATTCGTTTATGAAGAAAGCGAATGCGAAATAGACTTTTACGGAAAGAATGTAGTTTAACGTAACATACAGCAAGAATTTTTATGAAATGAATGAAGTTCAATGTAACTTCTGATTTGTTATACTGCAGAAAAATACATAATCCATTAGGTTGTTCGGAAAGTAATTTCGTTCTTTCACGAGAAAATCAATGACGATTTTTAATGTTTAGTAAATATTATTTAATGATGCATTGTTCCATAACTGTTTGATATTTTTCTGGTAGCTTTGAAATCGTATGCTCGTAGAAACAGAAGATCCTGTATTTTTGTCGGCGATATACTGAATCAAGTACTTTTCTTACGAAATTAAATTTTTTTCAGAAACGAAATTAGTCTCCGTGCAACCCAATAGCAGAGAGATAACAGAGTCTACTGCAGGCAATCAAACTATCACGAAATTAGTGAGCTTTGGTTGAGAATTTTATTTTTTGGCTAGTAAAATATACTACAATGTTTATTGTAAAGTTATTGTAAAGTATGTTACTGTATAACATATACCAAAGATTTCGTGTGTTCTATAATTTTTAAAACAATAATCACCAATATTTCTTCATATTACTCCTAGCATCTAAATTTCTGGCAAAGAATATTTAAATATTCTAACAGATCAAATGTGTTCCATTCTAGCTCAACTGCGAATCTTTGCTAAACCATAAACATCAGAATGAAGAGAAAAATTTCTTTCGTCATCAGACAGAATCCTCAAAAATCGAATAAGAACGCTGATAGTTTTTATTACTGTAATCTAATTATAATTATTCATACATTTCTTGACTGTTACCTGATTGACGTATCAATAATTTCCATAGACTTTCTGTCACATTCGTATCAGGTAAATTTTCAGATCACGATAAAATTGAAATTTCTCTCAGCTAAATTATTCACCTATTCTTGATGTCCAAAAGGAAGTTTGATCACTTATTGAATTTTTGAATTTTGACTATTGTGATGGGAAATCATTATTATTGCATTGGTTCCAAAAGTGTATTTTAGCTTTAACTGGCTTTAACTAGCTTAATAGCTTTAACTCTTGCAGGACGAATGTCGACGTAGTGACGACGGGACATCAGGATTGTAAATCTTATCGCAGAAGTTGCAAATATACGAAAACATAGCAAAATACCAACAAAATTGTTCACTTTTACCATTACTTAAATAAAATGATGATAGATAAGATGATTAATTTGAAAATTTTTATTTAACGTATATTGCTGAAAAAATTATAGCATAGACAAATTTTGGATAAAAATTTGAATTGAGTTTAAGATAATGTTTCTGAATTTTAAGTTTCATGCACCACTGCAACCCTTCAGATGTGTGGCCTTTTTATCTTATTGAAAATTGACAAGTTTAACGAAATGCACAGACCTTGTTTAATTTTTGTTTAATATGCGGTTAACAGTCGAATGAAGTTTGATCTTTCCCCTTTGATTTAGGACAAAATAGACGTGACTGCGATTTCATTTCGCAAAGTCACCGATAATATCAATGCAGATGATTCATGACAAAAATGTAAGGGTTACTTTAAAGTGCTGCAACTTTGTGAAAAAAACGCGGTTACGTTTCTTTCTTTTTAATTAAAGGGAAAGAATAAAAACAGCATCCCCTAAAAAAATGTTACATTCTAGCGAGTTTGGCAATTTTCAATGTGACAAACATGACCTCATATTTAAAGGTTACAGCGACGAGGGTGCATCAAACTTGAAATCCGGAAACAGATTCTTAAAGTAGACGTTTCAAGCTTTAATTTAAAGGAAAGTCCATCATCCTACGATAATTTTCCGCGGTGTTATCGTTAGTCAAATTTGGCCAATTTTTAACCAAAGATCGTATAACGGTGTATAACGGTAATGTGGTTTATTATATGCACTATTTTTGTTCATAAGTTTCAGTTGGATATAATCAAAACTTGTGATCAAAAATAGTGCAAAAAATGTAGATTTAATAAACATCATTACCGTCGCATATTAAAAAAAATTGTTAAATTAACGGGGCATTTTATCTTTTCATCGCTGGTTGTAATTCTTAGTGTGTAAAAAAATCTTTATCCACACACGGAGAGTTAAAAAGTCACTAAATAGCAATCATATAAAACACCTTCTGGAACGGACTAAAAACAAATCACTGCAATGTACAGTATAATCTACGTTTTGAATATTAAGAGACCAAGCAATCTTCGTAGTGTCCGAAAACCCGAAAATCCGCGAAAACTTGTTTGGTCAACTAATTCGGCAATCGATTGCGGATTAAACCGGCCGTGCTGCCAGCGGCAGAAACGTCAAACATTACGGCGACTCCTGAGACATCGCAATATTCATCGGAATCAATATTTCTGTATCCAGGCGAAGGACTTTCCGATCCAATAAATTCGATCAAATTCCATGTTACGTTCCGCGCACCGTGTAATTTTCTCCCGTTTTTTTTTGCCGGACGTGAACGTTAGAGGTCAGCAGGCGGCGGCCGTGTTTTTCTCGTTTTACTTTATTAAATGTCCTGAAAAGCTTTCATTCGGTCGAAACCAAATATTCCCTGACGGAAGTCCGTTTCATCGCGTTGCAATATTTCCCGCGCGGAAGCGGAAACGCGGAAGAGCGCGACGTTTTCCCGCGCGTATCTCTGCATCCCATGAAAGATAGACCGCCGTGGCTGACGCAAAAAAAAAAAGAATATACACGTACATCGTCACGGAACCACATGCACACACGCGTATCGATACGGACACGCGCAAATAAACACACGCGGAAAGAGGGTGTTTTATTTAGCGAGCCGAAGGAAGATATCGCTTTCGAACTCTCGACGATGACGCCCGGTGTCCTGCGCGGAGCGCACATATGCATACACGTGCAGACAAAGGAATACACACGCGCATACGTACAAATAATACACAGATGTATACATACTGGAATGCACACACGGACGGACAGACTCCCGCGTAAACACGTAACACATGAGCCGGTGCACGCGTCACAATCTGAATTTACTAACAGTCGATGGCGTTTAATTTGTTATTGACATGCCTTGTTTATACGCACTGAAAACCTGTGCACACGGGAGTGAAAATTACACACGGAACAGGATAGCAATCCAATAGCCAGGCCGCAACAATGATATTTTAAGCACTCTCGAGATTAAAAGATCGTGTTCCGGTGTTATTGACATTGGCAGCCGTCGCATTCTTGGATAAAAACGACGTTGCCCCCGCTCGAGTCTGCGTTATTTAGCGTCACTCCCACGCTTGACCCTTTATGGCCACTCTGCGGAATGGTTTTAGAAAATAATCGACGTGGCACGTGATTGTTATCGACACGATACTGTTAGTATTCTTGCGGCAACCCTTCTAGTTCTTGATTCTCTTTCGATCGGATTCCCTTTCTCTTTGCGAATATTTATCTTGGAATTAACGGATCAGCATACTTTTCAAAATCGTTAGGAAGGTAATAGAAACTGTCAGCAAGGAAGGTATCCTAGCGAGTGACAGGTATTTCTTTCGTCGGTGGAAAAGCATTTCGCGAGAGTGGAACAACACTCCTCATGAAGACGTCGTTGAGAAGATATTACTTCACTTGTGTGGGCACAACATTTCGAATCGTTGCGAACGATACAGATGTGCGATTTTCTTAAATAATTTTGTGAGCGTGTACTACTTTTTAATATTATAATATGATAGGTTTACGACGATTTGGAAATTGTGTTTTTGTCGTTGAAGTCAATATGTTCTGAATAGTTTTTTGACGGACGTTATTTTTGCGCATTGTAGGAGGAATAAAAGCTTTTTATTTCTCTATCTACCTATAAAATAATACATTTAATGATATTCATTACGCTGAATTACATTTTTTTGTGAGAATGTAATGAAATGTATGAGATTAATAATCATTTTAAATCCAAAAACACGTCAATTTATCTATCTTGTGTTACAAACATGTTTTCCAGATTCTCTTCTCGATTTGTAGACATCTGGGTGCCTATTAGAGGTAGTTTAATTCCATGAAATAGTTCAATAAAACCAATTAAATCGTATTCATCAACGATTCGAGCCAAAACGATTGCATCAATAATATACTGTTGTGGACAAATATGTATATATGGACACCTTCTAAAACGGAATAACTTTCCTAGATTTGGACCAAACAACTTAAATTTTGTTGAGTTGCTAGTCTATTAGACAATGTGTAAAAAATTTTTTGTAAAAATTGCAGTTAAATGGAAGGAAAAAGAAGTCTCTGTAGCCCACATGTGTGTTTAAAATGTTGTCAAAATCGTCACACGTTGCTGTGAGCTAGAAACAATTAAAGATATCGGAAACCGCAGTTTTTCACAATTTTCGATCAAATGATCGTAGCTTTACTCTACGTTAACCAATTTTCAACGTTCATAAATTTACGTTATTATCGAATTTATAATTGAATTTTTGTTACATGCTCATCATTCTACCCAATTGCAATCTTTGCAAAAATTTGTTTACAAATTCTCCAGAAGACTGAACCTTCTATCGCATCAAAGAAGTTCAACTCGTTCGTTCATTTAATTTTGATTTTAACTTAGTTATGCAATTTTAAGACATACATTCAAACTATTGTCCGCGTCCGTAAATGAAACAACGAAACTTTTATTTCCCTAGTGTTGTTCCCTCCTCTAAATGTATTTCCGACAGAAAACAAATACCTGTCATTGATTATTTTAGCCCACTGCAATTAAAAACGAGTCAAATCGGCGACGAACGCTTGCTTGCAAGAGTAAAACATCGTCGATTGACGCGGAGTATGCTATATTCCATATTAATGCGCGATGACCCATTCCCCCGCCCCCTCCCAATCCAAAGTTTCGTCTTGTCGACTATCGAACGCAGAACACTTCCGGTTCCAGCCGGAGAGAAAGACAGGATTGTTACCAGAGATAGAGAGAAAGATAGATAGGATAGATTAAAATAACGTTGTACTAACCGCGGTAGTAGACGGTATTGCGGGAAGTGTTGTAGCTCGCCTCCGGTATACCCAGCAAACATTTGATGATCGCTGGTTCCGGTAAATCTTCGTCCAGTAAGGTCGCTCGTTTTAAGATATTGAACAGTCCGTCCTTGCTCATGGTAACGCTGGGCGTCGTCATATTTGCCGCAACACCCCTGCAAGGGAAGCAACGTTTGCGAAATTATCACGGCCGCGTTAAAGAGGAAGCATCGCGCGATACAGGCCGTTCCGCCAGAAAACAGGACACGCGATTCTCTCCTTTAACCATCGCGATGCCAACGGTCCGAGTAATCGCGCGGATGACAATGCCGGGATGACAACGCGAGGATCCACTCGGAACCGTGGCATTTGCGCCGCATACGTGCAGGCCGTTTTGCAAAATGGTTCCTGCCGAAGGGACGATTCTAGCAAAAAAATAAGTCGAACAAGAACGGAATACTAGCTCGGTTGCTTTACAATTGAATTTTCTTTTTGCGGAATAATATACAAATATACAGGGTGTTTCTTCCGAAATGTGTACTTAACCCTTCAGGCACCTTCGCTGTTTAGACTTACGTGGGTGGCATCGACTGACAGATTCCTACCCGTTTCAAGAGTATTTCAAATATCTTTGCAGGCTTTTTATTCGGAAATAATTGTTTCAGGCAAAAAAGAGAAGACTGATATATTTTCGAACGCAATAAAATATAACATAATATTTATTATATATTTTATAAGAAAATTAATAAAATGTAAAATATTTATTATAAATGAAATATAATATTTATTTATATTTTATTCATTTATCCCAGTGACAAAGCACCAATGGCTTCGAAGTTATGAATACAAATATTACGCGTGGGGTATAAATCTGCCCGCGAAACTACTTGAGGGTTAACTCTTTGAGAACTAGTATAATAATAATAATAAACACGAAGACTATACGCATTATTTCTGAAGTTGCAAGCATGTTATTTAATTCTGTACACAATGGTGTATCAGGATGTATTACATGATGTTTACTCTGGTTCTATGAGGAAGATATTTCTCGTGCAATTACTGACTATATTGGGAAACATTAAAAATTGTAGAGTATCGAAGAAGTCACACGAGATAATTTGTTTCTTTTTGTCGCTAATTTCTGCGTAGTATCGAAAACTGCATGATAGTTAAATGTCATAGTCTGTAGTGAATGTTTCGCTTCGAATGAGCTGTATAATTGTTTGTTTAACAAAACGAAAGACTGACTTGGTTTAACAATGTTGTTTCTCATCTGACATCAGAAGTATGTATTTACAAGCGTGATCTGTCTTTACTTTTGACTCAAGTTGGCACACACTATGATCGTATATTTTTTATATAACTTTTGATACTCTACGAAAAATATCGCATTGTTATTACCCGTTGTTTTCACACAATCAATTATTTACACGTTTCAAGACGACTTTCGTGAGAATAAAGTATTAAATAAAAATAATTACATTCCAAATTTTCGACTTATCTTATCACGTAAAATTGCCGAACGATTATTCACAATTTTTTGTTTTAAGTTGGGTTATTTTTAAATTATTAAGTCCGTATTGATAGACCATTAATGGGTTTTATTTCGAACGAAGTTCTGCATCGTAATTTCGCACGCTTGCCCCGTGATTTGGAGGCGTTGATAATTGTGTAAAACAATAATAATAATATTTGTTCACTGCGGTTTAATCTCCGTTGTGCCGCTGTCCGCGCTTTGTGTTTCCGGTTTTATTATTACAGATAACAGGTCTGCGGAACTGTTTCACTGGATTCGTTGTTATCGCTGAGAAGTTTCTGGTGCTAAAATCGGACGACTTTTGTCCGCGTTTTCGCAACAGCACTTATAATTGATATTTGCTAGATATTACGTGTTACGAAGAGCAATGTGAAACGGGAAACCAGTATTTAAAAACAATACTTAATGGCGCGTACTTTAAATAATAATTCGAATCTGATACCATTTACAAAATTACAAACCGCGCCGTGATGACGAGTATAGAAATTTATCGTGGGATTTGCTTGGAGGATTCTGCTATTGTGATTAATTTACGGATTTTTTCATAGGAAATAGAAATTTTCTAATTCAATCATTGAGAGAATCACTAATTTAAATAAGTTGAGGAGAAAATAAGAATGTTCTGAAATTTTTCTAATGTTCCTTCGTATTTTATCTAAACATTTTTATCATAAATGTATAGAATCTGCAATCTAATTATGATATATCAATCAACATTTTATTCTCAACAATTTGATAGCTCTGAACTTTGTTTTGGAATCTAATAGATAAAGATTTTGCAAAGCAAAATTGAGGAGTTTATATTACCGTATAAAATTAATATTGATTATATATGGTAAATATATCTTTCCTTTACATTCTAAGATATTATTCTAGAGTACAGTTTATTAATAAATATAAGGATGTGTAAATTTTAAAAAAAGCATTGTTGATGTTTTTGTATCTGACAGTAATATGTAGGCAAATGCCAGAATGCCAATGTAAAGATGGTGGTTTATGATACNTACTTTTGACTCAAGTTGGCACACACTATGATCGTATATTTTTTATATAACTTTTGATACTCTACGAAAAATATCGCATTGTTATTACCCGTTGTTTTCACACAATCAATTATTTACACGTTTCAAGACGACTTTCGTGAGAATAAAGTATTAAATAAAAATAATTACATTCCAAATTTTCGACTTATCTTATCACGTAAAATTGCCGAACGATTATTCACAATTTTTTGTTTTAAGTTGGGTTATTTTTAAATTATTAAGTCCGTATTGATAGACCATTAATGGGTTTTATTTCGAACGAAGTTCTGCATCGTAATTTCGCACGCTTGCCCCGTGATTTGGAGGCGTTGATAATTGTGTAAAACAATAATAATAATATTTGTTCACTGCGGTTTAATCTCCGTTGTGCCGCTGTCCGCGCTTTGTGTTTCCGGTTTTATTATTACAGATAACAGGTCTGCGGAACTGTTTCACTGGATTCGTTGTTATCGCTGAGAAGTTTCTGGTGCTAAAATCGGACGACTTTTGTCCGCGTTTTCGCAACAGCACTTATAATTGATATTTGCTAGATATTACGTGTTACGAAGAGCAATGTGAAACGGGAAACCAGTATTTAAAAACAATACTTAATGGCGCGTACTTTAAATAATAATTCGAATCTGATACCATTTACAAAATTACAAACCGCGCCGTGATGACGAGTATAGAAATTTATCGTGGGATTTGCTTGGAGGATTCTGCTATTGTGATTAATTTACGGATTTTTTCATAGGAAATAGAAATTTTCTAATTCAATCATTGAGAGAATCACTAATTTAAATAAGTTGAGGAGAAAATAAGAATGTTCTGAAATTTTTCTAATGTTCCTTCGTATTTTATCTAAACATTTTTATCATAAATGTATAGAATCTGCAATCTAATTATGATATATCAATCAACATTTTATTCTCAACAATTTGATAGCTCTGAACTTTGTTTTGGAATCTAATAGATAAAGATTTTGCAAAGCAAAATTGAGGAGTTTATATTACCGTATAAAATTAATATTGATTATATATGGTAAATATATCTTTCCTTTACATTCTAAGATATTATTCTAGAGTACAGTTTATTAATAAATATAAGGATGTGTAAATTTTAAAAAAAGCATTGTTGATGTTTTTGTATCTGACAGTAATATGTAGGCAAATGCCAGAATGCCAATGTAAAGATGGTGGTTTATGATACTAATCGCTCATTATTTACACACACACACACACACACACACACACACAACTTGCGTAACTAAATATATTCGTTAATAAATTAACGAACATTTAGATGTTTCATGATCTGGAAATATCAGGATATTCGTCTGTTTATCGTAGTATATACTACACGGATTGGTAAGCTTGGAGAAGTACTTACTCGATGGATATATCCAGGGTGGGTTTTGGATATAGTCCTTCTGCTGCGCATGTTATCTCCACTCCATCCTTATCATCTACGGTCTTCCTTCTGTATTGAAGATCGAAATTCTGCTCAGTTGCTGGAAAAATAAAGAGGATATTTGTATAATTCAGATATTAAGCGACCCACTTCGATCTTCTTAAAAGATATACTAATACGACGATAGTCGTATAATAATTGGTAGAATGATTCACACGCATAACATTTAAGAATCTATTTAACAAAATCTCGATTTCATCTGTCAAATCTAATCGTACCATTGGTTCGATAATTCTTATTCTACAATTATTGCAATTATAAAGACACAGCCACTGGAAATCCTTCAAAAAATTTATTCATCCCAACACCTATTAATACAAAAATTAAAAAAGAATTCTAAATAAATTTGTGTAAGGTAACACAGAGACGAGCCACTTTTAACGTTCGGTATGGTTAGCGTTAAATTCTCTTTCAGAGAGTTAGTCTCTCTAAGAAATAAAAGATACTGCTCTTAATTTCTAACACGTTAAGTTCCGCATTCGTCCCATACAGGTGTGACACTAATTTTTAATTAGATTTTAAAATTCTTTTTCATGGTAATATATTGAACTGAATGTTGCTAGAATTTTGGAATACAAAAGAGTTAAACTAACATTTCCTATGGTAAATTTTAACTTTCTAGTTTCGGTTTTATTGATTGAAGTGACTATGATATCGTGATAATTTTTGGAGTTGATTTTCGGTACTTAACCGAAATGATTCTAGATTTCTTATTTCACAATCGTTAAGACTGTAAAGATGCTTTTTCGAGCAAAGTCTGGTTATGTCCAGCTGCGTTTTGATATAAAAATCGAGCACTATCCTTTTGTTACTGTTAAATACGATACCAACTAGTCGCGTTCAGTGACCCCTTGTACCGCTGTTAACTCAAACAAGTAATTTCTTATGCAACAAGCAGCGCACTGAAAAGTCCAAGGAATAATCCGAATGGAATCTCGTGTCATCGAATATTTGCAGAACTGCGGATTTCGTAAACCAGCGAGTTCAACGGAATCTGTTTTGCTCGTTGTGTATCGCCACTTTGTTTTTCGCTTTCAGTCCTCCCTGTTTTATTTATCCTTCCAGCGGGGGGCAGGCTTATTGGCATAAGACAAATCGGCGAATATATTCGAGTGCAGCCAGCACGGGCGATAAAATTTAATGTCCGACAATGATTTCCGGACTGTTCGGTCGGTTCGGACATATCCGAACGCGGGCAAGCTACGCCGCTATTTTTGTAAAAGCAACTGTGAAATTGTATTCATTGCATGCGCCACCATATCTACGCCCCGTAGACAACACTCTATTTTATTGCAATTTTTATTTACATTTGTTTTACCATCGGACGTACAGCACTTTTCAATGACGCAGACGCGCGGATAACCGTGCACGGTGCTTGAATGCCGAAAATTGTGCAAAAAAACTCTGTAATACCACACGAAAACTGAATAGATAAATACGGTTTCTAGTGGATATTTTATATTTATACACCTCCAACGAGATAGAGTTAGTAATTTATTTCATTTCTATTTGTTAAATAGCCTTTTACTCTTTTTTACTAGTTTCACGAGTTTTCTATTTTAGAGTACGTGGTTACGTATTTAAAAATATATTCAAGAATTTATTAACAAATAAAGAAAATAAAAGAATAGAAAAATTTAATATGTCTATTGACGCGTTGAAATCATTAACAGTGATGCTTAGCCTACATCTTAATACATTCGAACAATACAGTATGAATCGAGTACAATTTCCTCAACATACCATCTATTGTCTTCATTATTATAATCTCGAGGATTAGGATTAAACGTAACGTAAACTCTCAGCGCGTATCAAATTCGAGCTGTATTCCAATGAAACAAGTTAACGGAATACTCGTCAATTCGTCCACTAATTGGGGATTCTATTAATACGCGTAGCAATTATAATAAGACAAATATAATAAGAGAATTTCCACGGAATTTCAGATTTTTAGTACTGTAGGAGCTTTGTGGATTATTATTTTAAAATCCCAATGTGTCTGAATATTTTACTGTACAAACGAAAGTTTTCAGTCACTGTTATTTTCTTTTGAAGTGTGTGCAATTTAGCAGCACACCGATATGCACACCTGTACATAAGTAAGAAACAGTGTATTTCTCTTGTATCTGATCCATCGTTGCAGTATTGTCCTTTTATGTACTCTATTAGTAATAAATATTTCTTATAGAAATGCCAGTGCCTAACGAAAGAATGATAAGAATTTAATGTCCTGCGCTATAAGTAAACGTTGAAAATGATTCAGCATAAAATCAACAATTTTGGTGTAGAGTAGAGACTCAACAAACGTCCAAATAATAAAACACTTAGTTACAGTGCCGATCTTTATTAATTTTTGTAATAAACGGTTTTATACAGGCTGTCATGTAACTGGTGGTACAACCAGATATGGACTCATTCTACGACAAAAAAATGAGTCGAAAAAAAGGAGTGACACTTTTTCATTTAAGGCTCCGTTTTCGAGAAGATATAGGTTGGAAAAATAATATTATCGAATAGGAATCAAGTGGCAAGCCTTTCCATGTCCTTTTTCACGAACGAAGCAGGAGAGATAGAAACGACGGCGTTGGCTCAGCATATTTTTCTCCAGATCTAAACATCTCGGCTCTGTTTGGTCTTAATAATCAAATATCCACTTTCTCCGCAGAATTTCTAGCAATTAAAAAAGCCATTAACACGTTCCGTGCCACGTGTACCATCGATGGTACACGCTTGCATGTTTACTTAGTGAACTGAACAAATTGTTTACAAGAAATTTAGAACCGAAGAATCAATTTCCACCGCAAGAATGGGCGTTGATAAGTTTTTGTTACGTTGTTATGTGTACGAGAATTAATAATTGCACGTAATACATCAAGTTTTAGTAAAATATCAAAGCTGTCTCTTATACACATCTAGATGTGTATAAGAGACAGGAATTAATAATTGCACGTAATACATCAAGTTTTAGTAAAATATCAAAGCTGTCTCTTATACACATCTAGATGTGTATAAGAGACAGCTTTGATATTTTACTAAAACTTGATGTATTACGTGCAATTATTAATTCTCGTACACATAACAACGTAACAAAAACTTATCAACGCCCATTCTTGCGGTGGAAATTGATTCTTCGGTTCTAAATTTCTTGTAAACAATTTGTTCAGTTCACTAAGTAAACATGCAAGCGTGTACCATCGATGGTACACGCTTGCATGTTTACTTAGTGAACTGAACAAATTGTTTACAAGAAATTTAGAACCGAAGAATCAATTTCCACCGCAAGAATGGGCGTTGATAAGTTTTTGTTACGTTGTTATGTGTACGAGAATTAATAATTGCACGTAATACATCAAGTTTTAGTAAAATATCAAAGCTGTCTCTTATACACATCTAGATGTGTATAAGAGACAGCTTTGATATTTTACTAAAACTTGATGTATTACGTGCAATTATTAATTCTCGTACACATAACAACGTAACAAAAACTTATCAACGCCCATTCTTGCGGTGGAAATTGATTCTTCGGTTCTAAATTTCTTGTAAACAATTTGTTCAGTTCACTAAGTAAACATGCAAGCGTGTACCATCGATGGTACACGCTTGCATGTTTACTTAGTGAACTGAACAAATTGTTTACAAGAAATTTAGAACCGAAGAATCAATTTCCACCGCAAGAATGGGCGTTGATAAGTTTTTGTTACGTTGTTATGTGTACGAGAATTAATAATTGCACGTAATACATCAAGTTTTAGTAAAATATCAAAGCTGTCTCTTATACACATCTAGATGTGTATAAGAGACAGCTTTGATATTTTACTAAAACTTGATGTATTACGTGCAATTATTAATTCTCGTACACATAACAACGTAACAAAAACTTATCAACGCCCATTCTTGCGGTGGAAATTGATTCTTCGGTTCTAAATTTCTTGTAAACAATTTGTTCAGTTCACTAAGTAAACATGCAAGCGTGTACCATCGATGGTACACGCTTGCATGTTTACTTAGTGAACTGAACAAATTGTTTACAAGAAATTTAGAACCGAAGAATCAATTTCCACCGCAAGAATGGGCGTTGATAAGTTTTTGTTACGTTGTTATGTGTACGAGAATTAATAATTGCACGTAATACATCAAGTTTTAGTAAAATATCAAAGTGTGAAGATTCGAGTAAAAAAAGCTCGGCACGGAACGTGTTAAAATCTCTACCAACTATCCTCACAAAAATATCTCCATCTATTCTGACTGCTTAAGTGGCTTACAGGATTTATCCAATAGTTCTCTAAGTGTAAAAATTAACCTCCTTGTGTTCGATATCAGAAAAAATAATACATAAGTAACACGGCAAAAAGAATCTTTATCTCTTCTGGATATCGGCTCTCGTTGGGATTTCTTACAACGAGAAAGTGGATGTTTTAGCCAAAAATGTCACCGAACTGGATGTCTCTTCCGACACATCGCATTTCTGCATTCCAATTTTACTAAGAGTTTTAAAATTCAAGCGAAATCTGAAATTGAACACCAGCTATTCGAAGATGCTAAATTCAAAGCTACTAAGTTCTTCAACTATTTTTATAATCCGAGTGCGAAACAATGGTTTGCACACAAGAACCTTGCCAGAGACTTTGTTTCCTGGACCAACAAATGCCGTACAAACCATTAGAATCTGGTCTCTTCACTTTCTCGTATTAACATTATCGATGATCCGATGTGTCGGTGTGATTGTTTGGAGCGAGATCTAAATCACGTCATATGGTAGTCATATGACACCGAAAGAAATGCTATGATACATAAACTTTGCCAGCTTGGTTTCCATCCTCCTTACGCAATAGATGCCTTTTTATGTAAACCATACATTCAACCACTGCTAATCATTTTCAATTTCTTTAAGAAACATGATATACATCCTTGAGCGTGAAACAATGTCTAGATACAGTATCTAATAAGATCCATGTAATCAAATGTAAAATGTAATAATATTGTATATTGCTAATAACCCCGTAGGGGGTTTCATAGTTTAACAAATAAAAAAAAAGGTTC